CAAAAAAAAAAAAAAAAAAAAAAAAAGAGGGAGGGATTTGGTCTGCCACAGTGAGGGTGTGACAGGACAAAGGATCAGCAAAGTCTGGAGCATTTTATAGAGACTAAAAAAAAATTCCCGTATGTGATTGATTAGACAAGATAAGGTGCCCCGAGGCCAAGAGTTCAAGAGTTTATGTGGTCTATTTAAAAGTTTTCTGACTTAGTGGAGGGCATTTTTAAAGATAGCTAAAAAATGTTGAATTAAATTTGTGAAGTAAATGCACATCCCTAAAAGTGTTTATGCCCATTTTGTATTTTTTAAATCTCTCATATTTGTGGGAACTAAAGTGTGCCCAGGACATGTAAAAGTTAGTTTCTTATGCTATGTAACTTCCCTTCTCTCTTTATCACCCCACTCCAACTGCTCCCCCGCCCCCACCCTGGAGGGCTATGCAGAGTCAGTTTTCTAAAAGCGAGTCTTTTTCCAGTATTTCCTGAAAAGAACTTGTTTCTCACGCATGTGTGTCTTTTTTTGAAGAAGGCAATTTTAGTAAGAGAACATGTAATCACCCAGACAGCATTCCTGCAAAGGGACACATTAATAGGAACTCTGCCACATATCTTTATTAACTCAGATCCAAAAGGTGGAAAATCATAGAAAATTCCCTCTCAACTGAAAATTCTAATACACATACTATAAATAGTTTCATAATTCTTATGACAGAAACCAAAAGAAAAGCAAAGAATTATGTAAATAGGCAGATGCCATGGTTATATCCTTTCTTTTTAATTCCCTTCATAATCACCAACACATTTAATAATTGCTATTTACCATTGTCTTCCTTTACATATTTTTTATCAACAGTGAAGAGAAACAAAATTCGAAAATAAATGGAGAGGGGGAAATACCTTGAAAAGACATTGCCTAATTTAAAATAGCTCTTATGTTTACATATATGGTTGTGTTTGATCTTCCTAACAAACTGGGCAGGGTAGGGCTGGGAAGAGAGGTAGCCCATCAGGATTTTTTTTAGTCATAAATGCCTGGGTAGAATCCCACTCATTAGGTGTAAGGCTTTCTGCAGGTTACTTAATGTCGCTGAGGCTCCCTTTACATCATTTGTAAGATAAGCATATAACCCTACCTCAGAGGTTTGCTGTGGGGATTAAAAGAGGGAAAATAAAGCCTTGATACAAAGGACTAAATAAATAAGTCTATAAATAGCAGCTAGAGTTAGTATTGCAAAGGTGTTACTATTTTTTCCCCACCTGACAGCTGATGTGTCCAGAAGCATGCCTGAGCACAGGGAAGGCAGCTGTCTCTTTTTACACGAGGCAACTTGTCCATGTTTGACACTTCTAACAAAAAATAATAATAATCCATTAGGAAAATATGTATTGATGTCATTCTAACTAAACTATTAAATATCTTTTTAACAAATGTGTCAATTTAGTTACAATCTTTCAAAAATGCAGTGAGTCACAGCCTGAGTGTAGGCACAGCCCCCAAAGGTCAGGCTCAATCTACAGGGTGGCCCTCTGCCGTCTCTCCCTCACCCCTTGCTAGCTAACTCTTACCTTAATGACATAATTAAATGGCTATAAAGTTCCATAATTCTTGCTTCTTTCATTAACTGGAAGAAAGCCTCTTCTCTTCTCAATGTTGAAGATTCTGCTGTTTTACTTTGCAGAAGTTTCAAAACTCCCTAACAATGACAAAGAGTGCTCTTTCTAAAAAAAATTAAATGTGCCCGGCCGGGCGTGGCTCAGCGGTTGAGCGTCGACCTAGGATCCAGGCGATCGGGGTTCGAGTCCCGGTCAGGGCACATGCCCGGGTTGCGGGCTGCAGCCAATCAATGACCCTCTCATCATTGATGTTTCTATCTCCCTCTCTCTCCCCCTCCTTTCCTCTCTCTGAAATCAATAAAGATATATTTTAAAAAAATAAAAATAAAAAATAAAAAATAATTTAATGTGAGAATTTGATTGGAAATGCAAACTTTCAATCAACTATGTAAGTTGTCAGCTGAAATTCGTTCTCTGTATCTTGCTGTTGGCTGGTTTGCACCAAAAGTCATCCTAGATAACAGATATGAAGTTAGCAGAAGCCAAAATCACTGAATCAAATGATTCTCTTGAAAATCCTCCTGGGCTCGAGTGGTACCCCCTTCCACGGAGGCTCAAGTTCTTTAGGAAGGAAAAGTGTGAACTTGGGGACGAGACACAGAATACATATCGCAAAGTTTACAACAGTTTCTGGAAACCTCTCCCTTTTTTCCTTTGACCTTCCGTTAGTTTAACAACAGTTGAGTTCATTTATGTTAAATTAGTTCCGTTAATTCAGGCAGAGATGGAAATGATCTCGATTAGAGGCATAAAGGGGTGGCCACATACCAGGAGCCCGCGGTGCCGCTGGGGTAGGAAGAGGTGCGTGGAGAAGGTGCGCTCTGTAAGCTGTTCTCACCTCCGCGTGCCTGGGCGAGCCCCGGAAATATCTTTATGTCCAAGAGGAGACTCAGAGGGCTGAGCATGGGCACCCCCTGTGATGAAGGACAAGGTGCCACCTCAGCACACACCCTGGGAGGACTTTCCAGGACAGGGGCTGGTGACACTATATGGCAGAGACAAAACCATCAGCCAAAGCTGAGATGAGCCAGAAGCATCTGGGGGATTTCTGAGGGTACTGACCAAACCACAGGAGAGCAGGTCGCAAGTCAAACCTGCTATCGACAGCTGTGGGGCAAAGAGCAGCCAGGAGAGGAGAGACCTGGCTATGTCCCTGTGCAGCGATGTCCCTTAGGGTGGAGACGACTGTGCACAAGTAACTGCTCCAAGGTGTTACCCTCTCTTGGCAAATCATGTGCCCTGGTGCAGGCCTTGCTGGTCTGCAGGAAAGGAGGTCTTTTGACACTGGTCATCTCAGAAGAGCGGCTATTTTTGCCTTTTTACAATTCATTCTAAGTTGAAGTCTTTGTTAGCTATAGCCCCGTCTTTCGAACACTGAGACATCATTTTGAGGAAGAAAAAAGTAGGGGTAGGGGAACAATCTGAAAGACTGAGCATTTTCCTGAAGCGACTTGTTTTTTGAAAGAAGACTCTGTACAGCATCATACTTAGAATAGATTGAATGTTAAAATGAAAGGAGACTTGCACACCAGAAGTGACTGAAATATTGCTTATGGATAATAAGTTGCTTTTTTCCACTCAGTGAAGTGGAATTTCATAGGCCAGATCAGTGTTTTTAGATATTCAAAGGCAACATTTATTTTCTGCACATCTGAGCATAGCATGAAGAAATTTCCAACTCCATTGTATGTATGCACATGTATAACATAAGACTAGAGGACTGTACTCTACACATCATCTTAGGGGGGTTTCCTGCATAATGAGATTATGATTGTTTATATTTTTATTTTTCACTTTTCACAACCTTCAATTTTTCTGTGACAAGTATATATTAGCTGTTTAAAATCAAAGATGTATAAATACTATTTTGAAATAATTTATTTATATCTTCTAGTTGTTTTCATCTAAACCCCAACTGTTTTTGAAAAACAGTGAAATAGTTGGTCAGTCAGTCCTGTTTTATTTATATATATATAAAGGATTTATGAGTTAAAAAAATATATATATACACAAACTCATAAATCCTTTCTAACTTTAACTGTTTTCTTTTTTAATCCCTTTATTTCAAAGATCATGTTGTGTCTCCTTTTCTCTCTTAAAGTTTCAAAATGGCCTTTGGCCAAATGCAATAAAATGTTGCCCTGACCTGACATAAAGAATGGAGTATGTATTTGAAAGCANTATATATAAAGGATTTATGAGTTAAAAAATATATATATACACAAACTCATAAATCCTTTCTAACTTTAACTGTTTTCTTTTTTAATCCCTTTATTTCAAAGATCATGTTGTGTCTCCTTTTCTCTCTTAAAGTTTCAAAATGGCCTTTGGCCAAATGCAATAAAATGTTGCCCTGACCTGACATAAAGAATGGAGTATGTATTTGAAAGCACTTTGAAAACTTTAAAGGGCTTTAAAAATGCATGGTGGTATTGGTGGTGGGAGGAGGGGAAGGTGGGCTGAGGGGGAAGAGACCTGTAAGAGGAGAAACTAGATTGTATCTTTGCATAACATAAATTTCAAAGGTCCTTCCTAAATAAATTTGCAAACAGAAGCAAATGGAGTCACTGTCTGGCATTTGTGAATGCTGACGATTTTATAAAGTTAATCCCAGGTCTGTTGCAACATGGCACACCCCTTCAGGTTGACATTTCTCTGTGTTGTTTGCTGCTGCTAAGAGCAAGAACCTCCTCCAGTAGAGCCAGAGGGACCTTGGAGCTACTGTTTCCAGAGGTGTGAGCCCCAAGGACACCTCCTGAATCATACTGTTAAGAGCTGTTTGAGAAGTGAATCCTAATTAAGAAAACTCTTTACATCTGGAGACTGTCTCTAGAGTTTGTTTGGATTTTGTTTGTTTGAGAGGGAGAACCTAGAGATCCTAGGAGAGGGAGAAATTCTAAGAATGCTCTCCATATTTGGACTGCTCTAGAAGCCCTCTCTCCCAAGTGAAAGTGATATAATCTGTTGGCAGAGTCTATCTTCTCTTTCCAGGCTCCCCAGTGAAGCCCAGGGCAGAATAAGCGTGGTTAGGAGTCCAGATTCAGATCCTAGCTCTATCCCTTGTAGAGACCTTGGAGAAGTCGCTTCACCTCCTTTGCCTTTAATTTCTCATCATAAACAGGGACTGTGATAGGACCTATTCATAGGGTTCTTGAGGGATCTAAAATACATTAATATACGTGAAGTGTGTACAACAGCATCTGGCACTTACTAAGTGCCATGTACTTGCTAATTGTTATTATTAAGACGAAAGGACTCCTCGAGTATATCCAGGCCACCACAAACCCCTAAGGTTTACAGTCTGTTCTCATAAGGAAGGTAATCCTGAGAGGGTCTGGTAACTCTGAGAAAGGTTACTTCTCATAGCTCTTCATAGTTCAAGTGTGTGTGGGGTGACCTGCTTCTGCAAGCACAGATGCACACCAAGCCTCTGGATTGGCTTCGGCAGGCAGGGTTGGGCCTATGTTGAGATGTCCATACTTTCTGGCTCAGTTGGCTCTGGGAAGACCCCACGCTCCTGGGTATGGCTCTGTCACATACCCACCTGGAACAGTATTCAATGCACTGGTCTTATGCCTTACAGAAAGCAAGCAAAGAACATTTCTTAACACAGAGTGTCAAGTTCATGGGTTACTATTTTCTCGCCAGCATTTTTAATACTAATGACTCTCAAACGAGCATTGAAAGGAAAGCCATTGGACCATATAGAAAAACTAGGAAATATGAGGAGGCACAAAGGTGTGCCTCCTGGAGAGTCCTTCTCTTTCCTCCCTTTTTGGCCCAAAGGAAAAATTATAACTAGGGAGGAGGGAGAAGAATCCCAGTATATATGCTAACATTTTTCGAAAACGAGCATTATATGTAGGGCACCCTCACCATATCCTGGAAGGACAACTTGTACATGCTTCCTGACTTCCTTGTGGTTGAGCCAGATCTCTGGTATCCTTAGGTAAATTAATATTCAAAGAAATTTTTTTAAACACATGACATTTTTCTACGTGGTATTAAAAATTGATCAGCTGGCTATTGCCACACCTTACACCTCTGCCCAAAGCATTAGTCCATCTCATCAATACATACTTTGGACAAATGCTGAAGTTAGTCCTAAGCCACCCCTGCTCCATTTTAATTCATTCATCAAACAAGTCGTTCTGGGGATTATTCCTTCTGTCCATTCTCTTCTCTCCCCACATCTTCCATTCCTTTCCTCACCTCTCATCATGCCAATTTATTAAACATATATACTTTAATAGGCCCACAGAAAATGAAAGCATTTCAGATTTGTTTTAAGCAGGAGGAAGTCGGCCTGAATTTCCAGAGTGCAGCTCAGTCCTCCACCACACACACATTTTCTCCCACTCCAGGGATTGCATTTCATCTTCATTCATCCAGCTAAGGAGAACAGAGGCTAATTTGGGAGCCTCTTTATGTCTGTACATATTCAGCCAGAGGGGTCAGTGTTGATTGATGCAAGACACTCTGTCCTCCAAGAGCTCGCCAAGTCCCTGCTGGTCCAGAGAGTAGCAACCAACAGTAACTCACCCTTTAGTGCCTGTGCATTTCTGAGCCTCCAGCTAGAAACAGTCAATAAACACCAGAGGCAACTTATGTTGCCTTAGATCACTAATAAACGCCTCGTACCAGCACCTCAGAGCCCTTCCACAAAAATGTATTTCTCTACAGATAGATGCTGAGCCCAGCAGCCAATTACTACAGAAATGCCTCAAAGGCTTGAATGAGGAGGCAGGGAGAGGGAAGGGCCCCTTTCCAAAGACAAGAGTTATGTGCTCCTTCTT